TTCGACAATTTGAAGATTGGACAGGGGCAAATTGCAAATAAAGAGACAGTTTGTTGGGATTCGGATGGAGCGATGATCACCGAGCACGTGGTTAGTTAGCGTTATGAGAAGATTGTGCGAGAATTGATTACGCATTTCACTTGAATTTTCAGCAGAATGTAATTTGTTTATAGATTGCGATTGCGTGTCTGAATTGATTGATATCGTTTGGGTGTCTTTGGAAATTTGTAAGATTCCCGAATTTAGTGCAAAATTTTCATTTTCAGTGCGGCGAAGGTGGTTGTTTGAAAGCGCGCACTTCAGTGACGTCGAATACACTGAATCTGGTAGTACTGGCTTATGCGCCAGTAGCGTTGGTTTGGGATCCTGTTGTACATATCGTTTTGCTGGAAACATATCGGTACGTTCTGAGAGCATTTTTTTTGTGGTGGGAATTTCTGATAGTTTTTCTATCAAATTTTGCATTGTTTTGTTGCGTACAATCTGAAATTGTTACATTGGAACGTGAAAGNTAGTTTTTCTATCAAATTTTGCATTGTTTTGTTGCGTACAATCTGAAATTGTTACATTGGAACGTGAAAGGTTGTGTTACGTTCGGATAGAACAATTTCAGTAACAATTTGCACACTTCAAATTGTTATTGAAGTGTGCAAAAATAAGTAAAATGTGCATGTTTTCCTTTCAAATTATCGCTGTTCCTGAGAGATTGTTAGTTTGGCTGAGAGAATTTCATTTGAAGGAGTGCGATGAAGATCCGCAGTGATTTCTTCACGAAACGTCTGAATCGTGAATCATCCGAACCAATGTCAGCTTCGCCATCTTCATCACGAGTGTTCACGTTTGTCATCGATACCTCATATCCGGTGAAACTTCAGTTCCGTTTGCCTCGAGAGCACATGTCAGTTCGTTCGTTTGTTCATTCTTAGTTTCTGATTTACTCATTTTATTTGCCAGTGAATTTATTTGTGCACTGTGAAGAAGAAGATTCTCGTTTCTTAGATGGATTCATTTTTGATTCGATTGTGATAATTTTAGTACAGAAGCATTTGTATTTACGATTAGATTTTTTTTNTAACTCTTTCTTATATCTTTATTCTCTTGTACTTTTAACGTGAATATACAAATTCGTACGGTCATGCTGCGGATATTGGCGATGAATAAAAGATTGAATAGCTATCTGCAGAATGTGTTGGGAAGTGCCCTCGTTGCATATTGAACGCGATGAGAATATCACGTATAAAATGCCGACATTCATCGCACGTATGGACACACACCCGATACTCACACTTGAGGTAAGATTTAGAAGAAGATAATTATGTTTTTGTGGAAACTTTTGAAGAGAATGAAATTTGATTGTGTTACATTGCAGAAGTTCAGCGTTCAACGGCGTGCCATAGACGCGAGAATGGATTTGGGACGGGCCGAATTCAAGAATTTGATGAATCGAACGAATAAAGTGTGGTGCTGGGCAGCCGACTCGTTCGCATTACTCTTCCCGTATGGCTATAATTTTGCGAGTGCTTTCGATGAGGTTTTTTTCTTTTGAGTTTATTTGTATGTTTGATTGTTTTCGTTTGTGTATTTTGTTTGTGGATCGAGTCTGC